TTCTCAGTGTTAAGAAGCTAGTCACCAATCAACTAGAGGAATGCATTGAAGAGTATAAGAAACTACCTCTAGAAATAGAAGAAAAAGGAGCCATTTTAACACGTCTAGATACATCTACTCTAAGTAAAGAAATCAATGAGTTTGGAAGTGTTTCTGAGGTAGATATAGATGCATACTCCATTGATAGTGGGTTAGCTATTCCATTGGCAACAGTAAAGAAAGAAAGGAAATTCAAAGTGTCTCTACCAGCAGGCATTGATAAAGCAGCAAGCTTTTTGAAGGCTTCGTTTATCAAAAGTGATGGAATTAAAGAGGAGGGTAGAGTTGTTACAGTTAATGATAACAACACAGCCATTGTATCAAGGACACCTCAAAGTATTGGTGGATATGAACTATCAGTGACTATAAGAGGTCACCATATTAAAGGTAGTCCTTATCAACTGTCGGTAAAAGTATCAAGAGACTATACCACACTAACTAACCAGAGATCCTTTAATGTGGGGAATCATACTACTGGTGTTGCTGTTCATACTAATGGTGAAGTATTTGCTAGTAGTGATGATGGGTTTGTTCAGGTATTTCGTCAGAATGGTACTGCAGTAAGAAGGATTGGATCTAAAGGTAATGGTAATGGACAGTTTAGCAGGCCTTGGGGTTTATTGCTGGTAGGAGACAGGCTCTATGTGTCTGATTATTCTCTTGATCGTGTGCAGTATTTCTCAGCTATTACTGGTCAGTATATTGGTCAGTTTGGTAGTAAAGGTAGTGGAAATGAACAATTCTGTAATCCTGAAGGTATGTCTACTGATGGTAAAGGTAATATATTAGTAGCTGATTACAGCAACAAAAGAGTACAAGTGTTTAAAGAAGATGGTACATTTGTACAAGTCATGCAATGCGATGGTAATGCATCTGATGTAGTAGTTGATAATGAAGGAAGGATACATGTTACCATTCGTGATAAACATCATGTTCAAGTCTTCTCTCCTGATGGTAAAACTCATCTTGATACATACAATAATCCAGCTGGTGACTTTATTAGTCCTGATGGTATTGCTATTGATGATGAAGGATATATCTTTGTATCAAGTAGCAATGGCTATCTCCATGTATTGAGTCGAGACAGAAAACAAGTCAAATTAATCTCAGAATTATCTGATCCAGGGGGTGTAGTACTGGATAAGGATGGTTATATTTATGTTGCTGATTATGGCAACAAACGTATTATGAAATATTATAGTAGTCGTTCAATAAAACTGCAATAAACTAGATAATTATAGAAAAGTAATTTTACAATTTTTTGTATGGAATGATGTTTTGTCAATCTCTATCTCTTTTCGCTTCCATCTCTCTTACACACACACACACACACACACACACACACAATTCTTTCCCTCCCCTTTCTCTCTCCTCTCTACTTTAAGTGACTATTAATTTGATTCAAAATTTTGAAGATAAAGCGGAAAAAGTAGAAATCTCAAAATATCATCAAATCATCATTATTACATACTAGTACATACACATGTTCCTAGTGTACACTATAATACATTATGTTTTATACATCATAGTTAGATCACTAGGTGAATCAGTACCTGATAATAAACTGGGTCTACTCTCTCTTCCATTTCTATTTGTACTTAAACTAGTTTTTTTCTAAATAATCATGTAAATATGCAACTGCTAATGGCTGATGTCTTGACACAATATTAACCAGTGTTGCTGGTACTCCTCCCACATCAACCTATTCAATGTACGTCATGTTTGACTCCACCCACAACCACACCTACCTGCACAAAATAAGTGACTTGTGTGAGTAATTTTTCTTCATAGCGCTAAGGTTCAATGACCCACCCACTAGTCATGGCCTAGTAAAACTTTGTATATTCTAGTAATCTCATTACATCTCTCTAACCTTTCCTTTTGTGCAGTTCGGTTGAGGAGGACACTCTGGGACTTCAACAGAAGCACCGACTATAATATTCTAATTAGGCTATAAGAGGGAGAGAGAGGAGGAAGAAAAAGGGAAGAGAGATTAAATAATGTGACATTTAGTTTAAGAGAGGACGCCACACCCAACACCTCAGAGTCTTAGCACAGTCGGTTACTAACCCCTAGTCTGCCTAACGCCTAGACTTCTTTCCTGGCTACTTTCCCTACACCACACACGCCCTCAGTCCCTTTGTTCACGACTCAGAATGCAAATATCATACCATGCAACAACAATTAAGAAGCTTTTACAATTACTGTGTTAGCCAGAAAGGTGTTGACTCATCTCTTGAATGACAGCTGCTAGCTAGTATTCCCTCCTCATCCAGTGCTGCTACCACTGTATCTACTCACTCCACTGTCATCAAACACTTCATCTGTTACTCCACCAGTGACTGGGACATCATGAGTACTGGAACTCTGTAATAATAATAATAATTAACACTTAATGAATAGATAACACCATAAAAGTAATCTTGCATTATTCTATCATTAATATCTGACTAATTATTTATCAGTTATACACAAATTACATGTACATGACTACATGTACACACATGAGGTATGCATCTGCTTACTGAAGTAACTGCTTTATTATATAGGCGGTAGCCTATATGTAGGATTGAGGTTGGTTTTTCAAAAATGGCGGCCGTTTTTATGATTTTCAAACACTTATAACTCTTTTATCTTACGTTGCACAGCCTTATAAATGGCTTAGATGAGCTCTCCTTTACCGAGC